AGAAGTCTTGCAGTATGAGGTCCAACAGGTTTATGCATTCCCATAAAATCTGAAACACCACCTCCTTCACGGGAGTCTTTTATCCCTCATGTAATGCAGTGTTTCTCTGTTTCCAAATAGAAAACAGGACTGTAGGAAAAAGGCACTGCAGAAATTTTGATCTTTGAGTTTTAGTCCTAGTGTGCAAAAGGAACCTCTGAACATACTGGTTCAAGTTTTGGCAACAAGGAGCAGCAATATGGAACATATCAAACAGCAGATCCCAAATAGATCTTGCATGCTGATATAACAGAAAAACATGATCCACTGAGTTAATATCTCCATAGCAGCAATGGCAAACAGCTGGGAAAGGAAGATCTTTACCCTGCAGATTCATAAAATTTAGAAGATTCCTTTCCTGTTAGAAATTTAGGCATCCCTCTACAAGAGAATGGCCTAAAGAGACATTTGTGCAGACTGCAGCCCCTTGGTGGATTAGGTCACATAAGCTCTTTTTAGATGTAAAGGTCTGAATCTCTCTCTAGCAGGCAGGATTGAACTGGTTAGGACAGTGATTTCTTCTTTTTAGTATTTTTGCTGTTCAGTTTATAGGTTGGCAGCTACGGTTAAGAATGGTTTGGAATTGAAAATTAGAAATTTTATTAAAAAAGATTCATCTCATAAGTTGGAAGAAGATTTGTTGTCCTAAAAAGGAAGGGGATTTAGAAGGATAGCTGACATTGATATAGCCTCTAAATGTATTCTGGTTTGGGATATAATTCTATCTAAGGATGGATTATGGGTGGCTTGGTATAGGAGGAACTTAGGAAGTACTTGGCTTATGGTCCTATTGGTGCTCTTCTTTAACTTTTTCTGCTTCTGTAATTTGGGGATATCTTCTAGATGTAAAAGAGTTTATGTTACAGAATATTGATTTTAAGATTGGGAATGGTTCTGGTTTTAGACTATTTTTTGATCCATGGTTACAAGAGAAGACTTTAATCCAGAAATATGCCATAGAGTGGTCAGATAATTGGGTTGCAACAGAGAGGCTACTCTGCAACAGATCATGGTCAACAAGTCTTGGAATATTCCTTCAGTTGATGGTTGTCTAAGGCATCTTTCAGAGGAGGTTGGAAGCCTACCAGTGACTGGTGGTGAGGATAAGGTGATTTGGAAGTATTATTATTAGAAAAACGACTTACTATCCAAATGAAAGACGATCGATTATCTACCCAAGATGATAGAGAGTCCCAGGTAAGATGTGCTTCAAGAACATTTGTGATGAACCAAGTGGGGGTTGGGGGTGGTGAATTGGTTCTTTTACAAAATCTTCTTTAACACTTTGTCAAATTTCAATGCTGGATAAGGCTCACACATTCAACCTCAGTGAGTTTACAAGGAAAATCTCTGTCAACTAGAAATCAAAAACCTTGGTTCCTAGTAGTGTAAGCTCCACTAGTTGTAATGCAAGTAGATACATACAGTTGTCTTTCACTCTGCACACACCCTAGCTCACAACAATCCCCCTGTCCTAAGCACCTCTGCTTGGACCTTGCAAGCTCTAATAGTTCACCAAATACATTGAAATGAATGAATAACAATAATACTCAAGCTATTACAGAAGATAAGAGAGGTTGTGTAACTCAAAGTATCAAACAACAGCTCCAAAACTTTATTCTACTGAAATTGTGTACTAAGGGGTATTTCTTGAAATTCGTATCAACACAGACCAACAAATGGTTCTCACAGTCTCATATCAACATTATACATATGCTCAGATGATGATCTCAATAGTATAAGCAATGTTTATGATAATCACAGAACAAAAGGACTTATTTTGCAGAAAACCCTAAAACCTAGGGTTTCAAAAGTCAAAACCACTAGACGCCATATCTCTGTGCAAAGCTCAACTTAAACAACCTTGAATCAACTATATATACTTGCTCAGATGATAAAAATTCAATTCACAACAAGATATCACATATATATACTTATATCAGCAGGCTAAACTGGCAAAAGTAAGCTCAGATGTAGTTAGGGGTGCAACTTGGGTTAGGTAGCCCGTGGCCAGCCCCATTTTTCAAGTGCTTGGGAAATCATTTTTACAATTAAGGCTGGGCCTGGGTTGAAAATCTCAACCCGAATTTAATTAGGGTTGGACTTAGGTTGAGGTGCTAGCTGCCCGAGCCAACCCAAACCCGAATTCTAATATTAATTTCATATTTATTTTTAATTTTAAATACATTATATTTAATATTTAAACTATGATTATCTTTTTCTTTTCAACTTCCTTGATTAAATCTTAACTTATTGTATGCTAACATTTAGGAGAATTAATTTTCTAGAATTTGTTTATAATTTATTAAAAATTTACAAAAAAAAGAAGTTTTTTTTTTTTTGTTTAAGAGTAATTTAATATAAAACTAATTCAAGATCATATTAAAATTTCGGTCTGAAGATTAGCCATATGAGTAACCTAAATTAACCCGAATTTTTGATGTGGAATCAAATTCCGAGTTACAAGCCCAAATTTAGAAGTAGAAGGATGGGTTGAGCTCGGGTTGAGCAGTTAGAGTTGAATATAGGGTTAGAGTTGGACTTGGGTTTAGCATTTCATGTGGTGGGTTGGGCTTAAGTTATACTTCAAACCCGCCGGAGTTGCAACCCTAGATGTAGGTTTGAGACATCAAAGTCAACTACAGCAAGAATATGAACACAAACACAAATTCTACAGTTGTTAAATGATAAAGCAAACTTGCCTCAACCATTGGACACCTCTGAAAAGGCCTCAAGCATGGATTGAACCTCTGAACCTGCCTTCTGCACCAGCAAACCAGCTCAAAACAGCCTTGATCTTCATCTTTAAAAGCACATACACACCATATAGATTTCTGAGTTGAATTAGCTCTCAAATTATGGAAGGAGCGGAATAGAAGATCTTTTGAAGAGGAGGAATCCTCCTTAGGGGCCTTGAAGTTTCATATTATTAGCTCTCTTTTTAGTTGGGTTCTGGGGAGAAATTGTACATCCATTGATGAGTTTATTGATTTTTTGGGTTCAGTGGGTCCGTAGGACCTTGTCTATGGCTTCGGCCTCCGTATAGCTCTTGGGAGGCATTCCCTGTTTGAACGCTTTCTAATATATTTTACTTATAAAAAAAAATAAAGTTTATTGAAATGGACTTGAGATGGCCTTTTTGACATTTAAAAGGGCAAACCCTAATTCAAAGACGGGACCAACAATTTGGGATCAAATTAGACTCGGTCTTCATTAGTTTCATGGTATTCAATCTGTTGGAAGTCGTAGAGTAGCTGTGTTACTTGTTTGGTACGCTTCATTTCATAATTTGCAGAGGGGAATTGTATTAACTTCAGTTTGTCGTAACTGTATGGGCTGGAAGGAGGGATTGTATGTTTATTACTTGTAATTTTGCTCCTCAAGCTTGGCAATGGTTTTCTTCTTTGCTGAGATGGAATTTACCAAGGTTGCAAACTTATTGGATTGAACTGGTTCAAGGACAACTTCAAATCTAAAGATGTGAAAGCAAGTTTTTCCAGATGTGTTTTTGCTGCAATGATTTGGGGATTATGGACAGAAAGAAACACCAAGTTGTATTCTGGTGCACATAAAGAGGCTGCAGATTTGAGTAGAGTTGTGTGTTGGGATGTCTTTGATTATCAAGGGTTGAAAATTTCTGACATTTCTTCCTTGTAGAAGCATATTTTCTATTTGTTTTGTTTTCTGGTCTTTCTAGCTCCTTGTGAAGCAGATTGACTTTACCTTCTCTTTGTGAGGGTATGCCCTCCCTTTATGTTCTTTTACCATATTGTTTGAGTTCTATAAGATTCCCACTGTGTCAGGAAAAAAAAAAAAAAAAAATTTGCTGCTAATGTGAGGACCTATCATTGTTCTTCAATGTTAAATCAATTAGTCTATAAGATCTAATGATGGATAAATAACAAGTGTTGGAGAAAATTGTGTAGATGATACATGAGTCAAAGTTGACATATCTCAATTAGGTTTGCATGTACAAAATTTATTGATAATAGAATAAAAGGTTATCTAATAAATAGATGTGGATACCCACACACAAGGAAATAGTTTTACAAATAAATCGAGTGAATTTAGCCAAAAAGAACTTGGGGAAACAAATAATTTAGCCAAAAAGAGCCTTTACTCCATGCAAGAACAGCATTAAATAATTTAATCCTAGGATGTTATGCTGAAAAATTTGGATATCTACAAATACTCATAACCTACTGAATCTATGTATTGTGCCTACAGTATCCACTGGAAAAAGTAATCACAGTATGCACAAAGGATCAATGTGATGCTGTGAATTGATGTATGTGCAAAATCAGAGAATATACCAAAGAATATATAAAAAAAAAAACTATGCAGAGGGGGAAGAAGATATTTGTTTCAGTTTCCGGCGAGTTGTCCCTAGTTGCAGAGTGCTGCAGTGGGGGACGCTGGGAGTGCCCTAGTCGAACCTGCCACCTCACCCTAGGTATGGCTGTTGGTGGTCACCGGTGTTGGAATCAGTGATTGCTGGTACTGTTAATGGTGGTTCTTTGCGGCGAACCAACCGGTCAGGTAATGGTGGTCCCGGAGGATATTCGACAAGGGTGGGTTGCAACGGTGAGAGTCGAGGGTTTTGGTAGTTTATGGTCCAATCTTTGGTGGTATATCAGTGAGCTAGGGTTTCTTCGCAAAATATTGCACAACCCAACACCGAGAGAGGTTAGGGGATCAGAACCTTCATTTGTTATGGATCAGAAACCTGTTAGCTATGTATGCCTTAAAAGCATCAACTTATTCTTAACATGGTGATTGATGGTATGGTTAGTTGACCATTCAAATCATTGTCATAATGAATAATTGAAGCCTACTGTCTCAGTTTGCTGATTTAATTCTGCAATTGTCTGGTTTTAATGAGCACCTTTGGCTGTCCAGTTCTGCTGTATTGTTGCATCAATAGCATTTCTATTTACCTGACTGTTTACATGTGCTATCAGGCGCCAACATGAGGTGGAGCTCAAACTATTGGAGGAGGAGACTGCAAGAAGAATTGAAGAAGCAATTCGGAAAAAAGTTGAAGAGAGATTGAGTTCTGAAGAAGTGAAGCTGGAAATAGAGAGGCGTATAGAAGGAGGTCGGAAAAAACTATTTGATGATGTTGAAGCTCAACTTGAAAAAGAAAAGGAAAGTGCTATAAGTGAGGCAAGGCAGAAAGAAGTAAGTATTTTACTAGGCAGTTTTTTTTTTTTTTTTTTTTTGGCTGGCTATAAATTGTGAGTAAACAGAGTTCTTGGATGTACATTATGTATACTTACACAATAACAAACTGAATGACTCTATAAGTGACAAGAAAGTGTGATTAATTAAGATGTGAGTTAATTAATCATTTCCATACACTTTAAATCCACACTATAACCCACTCGGCAAGCATAAAACACGACATTTACGTACACACATAAGCATATAAGGTAGTATACACTACATGACAGCAATTCCACACGTTTATACACAAGGCAAGTAATCACATATAACATGCTTTATCACATAATCATGGCCTCGTAACCTAAACAAGTGGCAAGTAATCAAATTAAGCAGGCTTTAAAACGTAACAATACTTTAGCATGTAAACACATAGCATATACTAGTCAAGTCTCAACACCACCTAGGTAAACCATACCCGTCATCCTTAGGTTTTCGAACCTAATGCTTTGATACCAACTTGTCAAGCCCCGGATCCATAGAACCTGGTGCATGAATAGGAAAGGTGAGGAATTGAACTCTCACTCAAGTCCAAATGTGGAAATCCAAATATGGTCATTCCATGTTTTCTTAAACCTTTTCTAAATCACCTTAACAACAACAATCATGCTATGTCACGAATTTTCCCCTTGCATTGACGGTCAACAATATCAAACGATGAAATTTGCCTGTGTCAGCACATTTAAATTGCAAAAGGCCATATTTAGTCTTGCCTTTTCAATTTATTACCACATCTCAATTTAAATAGTACAGCAATCATTGAGGGCAAAAAAGTATAATATAAATCCCTCTTAACATCATCGAACGGAAATATTTGATAGGGGAGGTCCATGTAATTATTAGGTATAGGAGTTCAGTGGAACAGGTTTTGATTTTTTAACCTTCACCCAGACCCAAAATTATTGGAGAAAATTTTACTTCCAGTTGAAGGTTTCTTTTTGTTTTTTGTTGCATAAGCTAATATCTTGCCAGGAATATTTTCGGGAGTCCACATTTTCCTTTGTGCCATTGCACCTTGCCTTCTGAATACACTGTTGTGACCATATAATATCACATTCTGTAGGAACAAGCTCAAAAAGAGAGGGAAGAGCTGGATAAGATGCTTGAGGAGAACCGAAGGAGGGTAGAAGAGTCTCAAAGGAAAGCTTTGGAACTGCAGCGCAAAGAGGAGGAGCGATACCGGGAGTTGGAGCTGATTCAAAGACAAAAAGAAGAGGCAGCTCGAAGAAAGAAAATTGAAGAAGAGGAAGAGCGTGCCAATGAGACGAAGCTGTTGGGAAAGAATAAATCCTGGCCAAAATTGCCTTCTGGGATTGGTATGTAATTACGCTGTTTGGCGATTGAATGTTTAATTACAGAGAGTAGGTGCTACTAAGCATGGCATATTCATTCGACCCATGTAAGAACAATAATTTGTAGAAATTGGTTTTGGGGATTATATTAAGCAACGAGTTCTGACTGCCGTAATTTGTGCCTCTCATGATGAATGGATCCTGTAATCTGTGCACCGCACCGGGTTGTCAAACCTCCCTCTACTTGATTTCTATTTTCTGGGATACAATGAAAGTTAAGAGAAGTATTTATTTTCCGTTGATAAAGTGTACTCTTGCGTAATTTATCAAGATAACAGTAAGATATCATAAAAGCAAGCAGGTAGAAAGTACCGTTCCTGTAGAATTTTCTTACTTCTTGTGAGATAGTGAGCGACATTTGTTTATCAGTTTTTAAATGAACGCCTAAAGGTCGGGGCTGGCTGCTTCTACTATCACGGATATTGGGTACTAATGATTAATTATAAATAAGAGTAAAGTGCATTAAACCTCCCTCAACTATATCTTAATGAGCAAAAAACCCCATGTAGTTCAAAATGAGCAAAAAACACCCTAAACTATCTCATTTGGTTGCAATTTACCCAATCCGTTGCCCTGCCGATCAATTGCCATGCACCTGAGATCCAATTTTTATCTAAATGACCAAACAACCCTTATAAAACATAAAGACTATAATGCCCTTAAAAGACCGTTTGACCCAATTACTAAAGCCCTAACATCAAGTGCCCTAATTTACTCGTTCTCTTCTTCCTCCATCGATCTGTGGCGCTCCTCGTTCAAAATCATTGTGTATCTCATCAATCAGTCGCGGTCCTCCTTCAATATCAGTGTGTATCACATTGATTTGTGGCGCTCCTCCTTCAATATTATTAGTGTATCGTATCATTCTCCCCTTCAATATCATTGTAATTCAGTGTGAATCGGATACTTGTACTTGCGTGTGTATGTATATGTATATATATATATATATACACATCGTTTAATTTTGGCATGGGGTGTGTGTGTGTGTCTGTCTGTCTCTCTCTCTATATACACACACACACATACACACACACACATATATACTGATGTGTTATGTTCTTTACAGAGAATGAGTTCCACAGGTGAATCATCTTTCAGTAATGCCATTTGAATTGGTCCTTTCAAGAATAGGATATGTTTTTGTTGTAAAAAGGCAGCTGTGTACATCTCTGATTCCAATAAAAATTCAGGGAAGCTATTTTTTAAGTGCGGTAAGGAGGCTTGCAAATTTTGGAAATGGTGGGTTGCAGAAGATGATGTTTAAACATACCTCATTTTGTTGATGAATTGGCAGACCTAAACTCATCGTCGGACTGACAGACTTAAACACCATACTCACAAGTCAATTATAGATGTACAAAAACAAAATAAAACCAAAAAAAATGGATTAACAGATCTAAACCCCAACATAGAACATTATTCACACAAACATGGTATATCACAAGGTTTGTTTCATGTGTTAGTGTTAGAGTTAGAGTTGAGATGCTTTATTGAGTATGTAAGTAGCAAATCAAGACTAAGGTTTGCTTCTTTAGATCAATTTTTCCGTTCCCCTGTTATCAGTTGAGGAAAGGTTTATTTCTCAAACAAAGGGGTTGTATATAGGTGTATATGGCGCGAATGAAGGGGAGAGATAAGGTTGGGTGTCAGTTCATGGAGATAAGGTTGGCTATGTGTCAACATGTTAGTGGATGTTGTGACTACAGGGTCCCACATAATCTCACAAATTTCAAACTCACATGCCAGCCTAAGACGCCACCCTTTCACTTAAAGGGCATAATGGACTTAACGGAAAAACACTCTGTGTCCTAAGACTACACTAAAGCCATAGTTAAAGGGGTTATTTGTAATACGGGGGGTTTGTTGCACTTGGAATATAGTTAAGGGGGGTTTAATGCACTTTACCCTTAATTATATCGTCTTGTGAGAATACCATTATGATCTCGAGTAAATGGGGCATGCTTTGTTTTAATTTAGGTTAGATCTGCTGGTCTCATTATGTTGAAAGCTTTATAGAATTATTATTATTATTAGGGTAAAGTGCACTAAACCCCCCTGAACTATTGGGGTATGTGCAAGAAACCCCCCTGAACTATAAAAGTTGCAAAAAACCCCCCTGAACTATTGGGGTATGTGCAAGAAACCCACCTAAACTATAAAAGTTGCAAAAAACCCCCCTGAACTATTGGGGTATGTGCAAAAAACCCCCCTGAACTATATATTTTTTTGCAGTTTACCCCATCCACGCGAATTGATTGACTGAAAGGGACAATGAAGCAGAGGAATTTGTTGCTGGGATCGGTGGGTCTCCTGTTATAGCTCCATCATAGCCGTTGTACCACCCGCCAGATCCGTCGGCTATATATATCGCACTTCTCTGCACCGTTGCGTTAGCCCATCGCCGTCACCGCCTTGCCCGCCATTCAGCTCACCTTGCTCGCCGGTCCATTCCACCGTCCATTCCAATCTCGCCGGCCCATTCTGCCATCTCCATAGCCGAGCACACCGCCGTCCGTGTTTCGAGCACACAGCCGTCCACAGTTCACCGCCGAGCCCCCTTGAGCTCGTCGCCGCCTCCACAGTTCATGGCTGAGTCAACCGAGCTCTCATCACAGCCGAGTCCTCTGGGCACAAGCCACCATCATCCGAGACCGAGCCATCCCGCTAACCTCGGATTTTCTCTTCTCTCTCTCTCCAGCTCTCAGTTTTGGGTTGTGTTGGGTGAAAAGCATCTTTTGGCAGAAAAAAAAGTAAGAAGTGTATAAGTTAAAACGACGCAGTGTGTTATAAGGGTAAACTGGTCTTTCAAAATTTTCGGTGCCGGAAGCTAATGTCATGGGGGTAAATTGCAACAAAATCATAGTTCAAGGGGGTAAATTGCAACAAAATCATAGTTCAGGGGGCTTTTTTGTAGTTCAGGGGGGTTTCTTGCAAATGACCAATAGTTCAAGGGGGTAAATTGCAACAAAATCATAGTTCAGGGGAGGTTTTTTGTAGTTCAGGGGGGTTTCTTGCAAATGACCAATAGTTCAAGGGGGTTTAATTCACTTTACCCTTATTATTATTATTATTATTTTGGTCATTGGCAAGAAAACTCACACATCTATTTATCTTTTGAGATTCAAACCCTCACTATCTATTTTGGAAGGTAGAGGAGATACACGGAGTTACACGGCACATGAATGCTTTATAGAATTTGGAATCAGCATAATCGTGTTTTGGAATCAGCATAATCGTGTCTGCTGTGCATGTGTGGAAAACATGGCACTTTTGAGAGGATTGTGAATCAGTTCCTGTCTGTGGCAAGTCTAATTGAAAGAACTTTTGAGAGGATTGTGAATTGGTTGGGCTCGGGTTTTGGACTGACCGACACCGCTACACACCGGTTTACTTTACATTTACTTGGACCCGAGAGTTGTTGATGACTACATCTTCCATGTTACAAAGCTTTTACCATCATACCAGCAAGTGAATAAACTTATTTATTCCTTTTTTTCTTGGGAACGGCATTCACTTTCCTTAAATTATATATTAATTGTTTTCATTTATTGAGCTATACGAAAACACATCCATACTTCAAAATTAATATTTATTAATCATTTTAGAATATTAAAAGTATAGGAAGAATACTTGTATAATATTTTTTTAATGTACATTTTTTTCCCTTCTAACATGTTATATATTGTCTAAATATTTATTATTTCATTCTTAAATCATTAGCATTCAATTATTAATAAAAATATATAAGTTATTAATTTTTTTTTTAATAGAGCCAGTGACTTACAATTATAAATAAATAATTACTAATGGTAAATGGTCGTTAAAATTTAATAAAAATCAGTAAAAAAACTATCTTTATTCAATTATGTTGAAAAAATTTGCATATCGGTGCAATTTGGGCCTTCTGTGCGAGTTTTAAAAAAATCACAAGATAACTGATACTATTACGTAACACAGATACATGTCCGATTTCGTTATATTGCGACCAATACCTCGACTGCGAACCATGGGGTCATAGAAGATTATACATATTTTATTTTTATCCCGACAAATTAGAAGAAGTGAAGACTCGAACACGGGTACACCCCCTTGCCAACTCACTTTGTAGTGTATGCATTAGCTCACAATATCAATGCATAATTATATATATCAGAATTGCCTTTTTGATCTTGAGCACCAAGAAATGTAAAGCTTGCCATAGTCTCTCACTCCAGGACCACTATGCACGTGTTAGCATTGTGCAACCATACATTGAGGATGCGGCAAGTGGCATGGGCCGGATATGGATCGCGGAAACGAGATCGGGTCGAATGATTGAAGAAGGATCCATGTTAAAGCACCCTGGAGTGGGCCGAACGTGGGGGGTCCACCGAGGAAGGTCAAGCCCATTACAAGACCCAACCCAGAAGGAAGAGAACTTTGGGCTATAAGCCTAATGTAATTGGTTAACTGCAAAAGAGGGTCATGGCCTATAAATAGACCATGACGGGTGGAAAGTAAAAAAAGAAGCCAGGGAGAAGTGAGAGAGGGAGAAAGTAAGAGTGAGAGAGATGAAACGGAAGATTGTATCTTCAATTGGCGCCGTCTGTGGGAAGCGAGGACGAAGATCAATTCGAGCCCGATCAGTACCATATTAGTTCAATCGAGTTTGTGAATATGCAGTGTAACTTCTGGAAGTTGAATCCAGATCAGTGAGATTGTAGTTTGCTCTGAGAGAATTCTTGATTATTGTTGATTCTGAGGCATTTGCTTTGGAAGGACACAATTGCGATTTGCTCAGTTGCAGTCAGATCCGACGAGTTTGAAGCTAGAAAAGTTCAGATCTAGCAAACAGCGATCACGATTCGGTAAAGTTAAGCCCAGATCTAGCGGAGTTTGCATCGGTAACGCTTAGATCTGTTTCAAAGTTCGTAATTCATGCCTTTGCTTCGATCCGGAATTATAATAGGGGGTGACGACTCTAATACGGTTGAGAACATCCAGCAAGTGAAACTCGATGAGTTGATGAACATGATCGAAGCTCTCCGGAGAGAAAATGCAGATCTAAGGAATGAAATACAGCGTTAAGAAGCTCCAGTAATTCCACAACCACTTCCGGTAGGCGAAGAAGGTGCACGTACCGATGCAGCACATCACGGTGAAGAGGTTGAAAACAATCTAGTTGATCCTCACCGCGAGGAAATCTGGCGAGATGGTTTGCCGCCAAATCTTCGTCGTATAGATGATCGTGAAGGAT